CACAGATACATACGGACAAGAGAAGTATTATCAAACAGGAGGAATTAACGGTACAACGCATCTCATCTGTTAAGTATCTGCAGGTAATAGGATTGTCATCGATTGATCCTGGCTACAGACATTGGTAGGTCACAAATAATAATGAAGATAAGAGCAGTTTCACTGTGTTATGCATACCGTGATGACAAATACAGGACTTAAGTCGTGTCGGCAGTTTGAGCAGCTTTGGATAAGACTTATGATCCTGCCCATACCCGAGCATAGAGTGCATTCACTTGTTCAGCTCTTCTGCGTATTCGTCCTCGCTGCTGCGCTTGGAAACGACATGACAACAGAATGATCCGCGCCAGGTGGGTCACGGCGTTTATGTGCGCATTGAGACAGAGTCGCAAAAAATAAATTCATTCATTGCGATTTTGACTTCCGTTTATTCGGGACCCCGGGGTCCCGCCATAAGGTTAATTATTGCGGCACCTAAACTCTGGAACTTGCTGCCTCTTCGAGGTCAGGGGGACTTCTGAGACACTTGCAGGTCTTCAAACCTCGACTAGAAACGTATCTGCTTAAAACGGCTCTCTCTTCAGTTGTTTTCAACCGTCCTGGTCACTTCTTCTTTACTTCGTTTTTATTTTCTGCCATGCCGTGGACATCGTGCTGAGAATGATTGATTAAGGGCGCGTTATACATTGTAATTAGTATGAGTGTAGTGGCTCACTTCGGAGACAGGGTTCGTTAAGGCACCGTCTTCATTCTACACGTCAGGGAACTACAGACACCCTACGTGCTTACACACTAGTCACACATCCGTCTCTTTTGACAGCACTGTCTAACTAGTACAGTCGGCAGGCTGTCCAGCTAGCGGCGTCTAAGGGTGGTCAAGACGGCGGCGACGAAGGTGACAAACAGCGACACAGCGAGGGGGGATCCACTTCCAGCAACAGCCCCGAGCTCTCGCCCCGGGCACCCTTTTATCCTCCCGGCGTGGCCTCGCTCTGCCCTCGCCACGCCCCCTTTCTGGAACCTACTAGCAGGTTTCCGGGCTTCCAGATGGACCCCTTCCTGAGCTTCTCTTTAGTTCTTCTCACCCCCGTATGACGTGGATACTGCCCTCTGCTGTCAGTACCACTTTTCCGTATGCAGTCAGCGTTATACTGGTAGGAACCTACTGGTTACACCAGCCCACAGGGGATTATTGTGTCCGTCCATCTGTCCGTCGTGGATCCAAAAATGGGAGGGGTGGGGCTGGGTGGAGAGGGGAGGGGAGGGTGGGGAGGGGCTGGATGGGGAGGGGCTGGTTCGGGAGTGTGGGGCTGGGTGGGGAGGGGAGAGAGGGGCTGGGTGGGGAGGGTGGGGAGGGGCTGGGTGGGGAGGGGCTGGGTGGGGAGGGTGGGGCTGGGTGGGGGGTGGGAGGGGTGGGGCTGGGTGGGGAGGGGCTCGTCACCCCGTGGTGCCCTTATAAAACTCAACGTTTAACCTACTCACGCCGGCTTGTGCCCGCCCTCACAGTCGGGCATATTTGCGGAATACACCACGTGGTGCCGCCGTTGACCCTGGCCATTGACCCAGCAACCCAACGTCCCTACCAGCTCCCTCCGCAGGAATGTGTTTACACCTCATTAGCACAGGCAAGGACCCTCTCTGTGCTATTTGGGGGTCCTAGTTCCACAAAATAATCTGCAGTGATACCCAACACACAGAGTGTTACCATGCTAAACACTGCAAGCAATACATCGTTAAATGTGTAGGTATATGACCATATAGCTATAATATTAGCATAACCACCCTTTTATGCTGAATATTTTGTTAATATGTGATAGATACAAATACAGTATATACATTCATGGTTGTCTTTATATCTGTAAAATAGTGTGTGCATTATAAATTGCAGTATTATTATTTCCATGCAATAGATTATTCTTCAACATATTTAGATCGTTTGCTCTCTCACGCAAGCATCCCTGAGCTAGTGGTGGAAATTACATGTTTCTACGGCAGGGGAAATTAAGTCATGCCTGAAGATTATCTCTGTTGCCTAACCACAAAGTGGTACTCATTTTATCCATTCTGGATGGATACTTGGCCGAATTGAGAGCAGGGGAGAGCGGGGAAACGGTAAATGAAATGGTTATCAGAAAACATTTCTCAAATAAAATTCTCACCAGGGCCCATGTTATAAAGTGTATTCTCTTTGACCATTATCCACTTTATTGCTGTGTTCGATAAAGAAGGACCATTCCCCGAAACGTCTCATGTTAGATATTGTTATTTTTACGGTGTTGAAGCTCAACATACATACATACATGGACGAATGTGTTGAGTTGTTTGGGTTAATTGTGCTTCTGCACCGCTGCCAAAGCAACATTACGAAATAATGTCTGGGTATGCACAGAGGTAAAGGCGCAGCCCTGCAATGGCTCGCTCACTGGAGGCATCTCTAGAAGGTAGTTAGCCTACTCTTCAACGATGAACAGACGTGTCGGAAGAGGTGTGAGTAACCACAACCTGACTGTCGATGCACACACACATACATTCAAAATAAGATCCCAATTCATTTCATCTCAATTGCAGAGACTGTTTTGTAAAACAAATTAAATACTCTTGATTCTTCGCAAACTGTATTTATTTTGTGTTTGAACATCTTAACACGTCTCGATTTAAAGCTTTCGTGACTGCAGGGATTCATATTCTTGGTTCTTTCGGTAAAGTCACGTAGAAGGGAAATAATAAAATAATGCAAATATAAAACGAACAAATTCTCACGACGCTTCGATTGCAAGACAAGCAATCATAATCAGGTGTGAAAACCACAGCAAGAATATTTGAAAAGTTTTTTTTTTCCTGAAAAAAACGCCACTTTTTTTCAAATTCTCACCTGATGATGATTGCTTGTGTTGCAATCGAAACGTCGTGAGAATTTTATTGTTTTATTTTTATTATTTCATTATTTCCCTTCTACGTGACTTTACCGTAAGAACCAAGAACATCTTAATACGTGTTGTATTGCCAGAAAGGGTAAAACCTTTTGTCAAAAAAGTTCCCATGATACATTAAATGCTCTATTGTGCCTGAAGGGAACATTTTTCAATCAGTGCGCATAAGCAGGGCGACGTTGCAGGCAACTCTTCCTCCCTGGCCTCTCGTGTGCTGTGAAGAAGGGCCATTGCCCAAAACGTCTAATAGATTATTATTTTCGTTTTACGGTAGTGTTATTCACAAATGTGTTGACTGTTTGCAATATCTGCTAATTAGCCCACCAAAGGGTTGACAATGAGCCACAAAACATTATATATGCACAGGCGCAATGATAACAGCCGCTCTTCAGAATCTGAATATTTATTTATACTGGAGGAATCCGATGAGCTATAGAGCTCTTTTTCACAGATGTCCAGTCGGGGCGGGTCAGAACGTAACAACAATAATATATTTTTTAAATACACGATATGGGTGCCAATTATAGGAAAGGTAAACAAGTCACTTAAATTTCGATTTAAAGCTTTTGTGACTGCAAGGATTCATCTTCTTTGGTTCTTTTGGTAAAGTCACGTAGAATGAGAATAAAATAATAAAATAAAACAATAAAATTCTCACGACGTTTCGCCCACAACACAAGTGGCCTTCTTCAGGTGAAAGGGACAGACCTGTTGGGACGACAGACCTGGGACGACAGACCTGTCCCAACAGGTCTGTTCCTTTCACCTGAAGAAGGCCACTTGTGTTGTGGCCGAAACGTCGTGAGAATTGTATTTTATTATTTTATTCTCATTCTACGTGACTTTACCGAAAGAACCAAAGAAGAAGTCACTTAAAAATATACAAATAAAAAACCAAAATCCAATGAGGTACCAACATTATTTGCCAATGAGCTCACTCGCTGGGAACTTGTACGGAGCGCCTTCCCACCAGCGCTCCCCAAACTTGCGAGCGGTCGCCTCCTCGTGGCCTGCAGTCTGCATTGGGACGCGCGATCAGTAAGGCCTGAAATCGTCCCCTCTGTGCTGGCGAACGAACAGCCTCGCCCCCCAGACAACAACAATAACATCCAGATGCGATGCCTGCCGTAGGTACCGCCAACCATGTATGTGTGCACGTATGTTGAACTTATTTCACTACCGTACGTAGCACAACTATGCAAATCGTAGGCGCCGGGGGGGGAGGGCACAGCAAACTGAACGCGAATGGCAGTTCTAAAGGAATGAGTTTTCAATGGAGATTATTTGAAAGTGCTTAGCTCCAGTAGCTTACGAATATCGGATAGAGCGTTTCGCTCCGCCGCTCCAACAAGAGTCTAAAATATTGCCGAAATGGGTAAAGCCTATTCTTTTTTTCATCAACTTGATACAGGCAAAAAGGATCCCATATATCACATGAATTAATTAACTCATTCATCCACGAATTAAATCATAAATTCAACTATTAATTTACAAATGTATGTATTCACTTATGCATTTACATATTCATTTATCCAATCGTTCATCTATTGACTCACGCATTTATCCATTGTTTCATTTATTCATTTACTCCATTCACTCACTAATATAAACATTCATTCACTCATGTATATAATTCGCTCATTCACAAAGCATTCACTCATATATCCATTAATTCACCCCCCGCATTAATTCACCCACTCATCTATTCACCTATTCGTTCGCCCATTCATTCATCTATCAATTACCTTTGACCCATCCAATGATTCACTCATTCACTCATCAATTCATTCATTCACTCGCGACCCATTCATTCATTCATCTGCCACGCACTCCGCGACTGCAGCACGTGACGTGGCAGGCCCAGGTGGCCCACGCTCATTGGCCAACCACTTCCTGCAGAATCCTAACGCGCTCGCAAAATAGTCCCTCGCACATTCCCCACGCCGCCTCCTCAACTTCTATCACAGCTCCCACCGCGTCAAAGGCATCGGGACGCGCGTACTCACGGTTCATTTCGCTGTTCGACCAAAGCACCTCGCGCGCGATCGACATCTGTCACGACGGAGTAGCCGGCGCCGCGTCACCCGCTCTTGTATCCGTGCGCGCGTTCTGCTGTCATGGCTGTCCCCGCGTCTCGTTCGTCTCCCTCTCCGCTCCTTCTCCGTCCCCCCCGCCGCCTCCTCCTCGTCGTCGTCGTCCTCCTGCTGGGCTCCGCGAGCCTCGTGCACGGAGGAGGGAAGACCCTCGTCTTGCTGGACAACCACGCCATCAAGGACACGCACTCCGTCTTCCTCTCGTCGCTCGCAGGTGCCGCGCCTGTCGCTAGGCTTGGGCTAGGCCAGGCCTCGCCGCTCGGGGTCGAGTTGGCAATGTTCACTCTACTGCTGGATGAGCTCCTTCTCTGGCGTAAACCGCGTGTGGGTCGTGCTAGGGCGAAGGGGTTATTCGAGCATACTTCACCACGCTGGTCAGTGCGCAACGGTGAATGTGGAGGCGGTTGTATTTCGGCTCCCCCCCCCCCCCATGTGAGTATGCACGTCTTGGGATTTTTATGGGAGTCTACGGATCTCTGCAAATCTGTGGGTTTCTTTGCAGGTGTCTGGTTGTATATGGAAGTCTATGAGTCTTAGTAAATGGGTTTGTATTCAAGTATATGTGTATGTATGCAAGTCTATGGGGCTTTGCGTAAGTCTTTAGGGCTCTGCACAAGTCTAGGGCTCTATGCAAGTCTATGGAGCTCTGTGCAAGGCTATGGGGCTCTCTGCAAGTCTATGGGGCTCTCTGCACAAGTCTATGGGGCTCTATGCAAGTCTATGGGGCTCTGTGCCAGCTTCTTCCCCGCCTCAGTGGTCATATAATTTATAAATTTAGATTGTATTTCTTTAAGTGTTGTAATGCAGGGTAGAGCAACTGAAGTTGAGTTACAATAAAATTGTGCATCAAAAATAACCGCGTAGCATGAGTTGACATTGACATGATTATGACCGCAGACCGAGGATTTGAGCTGACATACAAGACTGCCGATGACCCAAGCCTGTCTCTGATCAAGTATGGAGAGTTCCTGTACGATCATCTCATCATATTCTCCCCGTCTGTGGAAGGTAAAGCCCTCAACTGTGCACATGTTGACACACGTGCTGATTGCATTGGCATTTTCCAGATAAAGGCGCATGCATAGTAACGTTGATTGGCACTTAGCACTGAACTGCACTGATTAGATTAGATCAAAAAGGAACACCGTTGGTCATTATTAAAGCACTAGTTAATGACACGACACACAAATTCATGGTGCACGTGACTGATCCCAGTAATCCACATTTATAATTGTGCCGTTCCAATGAAATGTAATTACATACTGGTTGTGATGGTGCTGGTAGTGATTGTGTGTTGGAGGTGGTGTGGTGGTGTTTGAGATGCGGTTCATGGAGGTCCTTGCTATGGTGCAGGTCTGGTTGATGGTATGGTCGTGTTGGTGCTGTTGGTGGTATGGTGATTGTGAAGGTGGTGATGGTGTGTTCATGGTAGTGGTGATATTATTGGTGGTCGTGGTGATGATGGTGGTGGTGGTTAAATTTTGATGACGGTTGTTTCCCGTTAGATATGTTGCCACACTGTGAAATGGATACATTGATGTTGAAGTCCACGTGCAATTTTCGTAGATAGATATTTGTATGTACTTTATGCAGGACCTAGTTGGGGTGCCGCAGTGGCGAGATGTTATCTCCTACGCCCTGGTATGGAGGAGGCCGTGGATTCGACCCTGTGACGGCTGTATATTTGGAGATTCAATGTTCTCCCCGTGGTCACGTGGATGTTTCTCCTGGGTCCTCCGGTTATTCATGTAACTTGCTGACCCGCCCCTACTGGACATCTATGAAAAAGAGCTTCATAGTTCATCAGATTCATCCTCCAGGTTAAATAAAGATTCTGATGTTCAACCTGAAATTCACGCTTCTACACTGCACATGAGAGGCCATGGTGGTGAGATGTTAACTACCTCGCATGGTATACAGGAGGTTATGGGTTCAATCCCGACCCTGATGCCTGTATATTTGGAAGTTACATGTTCTCCCCGTTGTCATGTGGATTTTTCTCTGGGTCCTCCAGTTTTCCCTCCACATTTAGAAACAATCGTTTAGAGCATTTGGCTGCTACAAATTGCCACGTGATAAGTGACTTCGTTGAGCTATCATTTGTGGTCAGGTTGCTTCTGAAAAATAGCCATAGAGCTCATTGGGCCTTACCTGGCAAAATAAAAGTTTTTAGTTCAGAATGTCACCGTAAAAAAAAAAAAATCCACTTAATGTATATGCCAAGATTGTGTCCTCAGTCATCCAGATAGGAGCGGGATGATAGGTGTACCAAAAACAAGACCCTAGTATATGTGTACTGCATTTGAATGTTTGTGCTGGTGACTGAGGCATTGGGTTGAGAGAGGTGGGTGACTGTGTGGGGATGAGACAAGCGGCATAGTATCAGTGGATTCGCTAGAAGAACTATTATAGAAGATAACTTAATGTTCAGGATATTGGATAATGAGATTAATACTTGCATTTATAATATAAATGTCATTAAAACCCACCTCCACCCAACACAGCCAACTAGTAAGGGTTGTTACTTAAACAGAACGTGCCAATTCGTCACTAGCAGTGCACACTGGTGTGTTGGAGAGCCAAGCCACAACATTTATAATCTGAGTATTTCTTGATTTGTTTAGAAATACGCAAAGAGGCACATCTAGGACTTCATGCGTTTGTTTTCTCTATATTTTAGTGCAATTCTATACATTAGTCTAAATGTGAATATAATAATCAAATTCCAACATAAATTGTGAATAGATGTGATAAACCTTTTGCAAAAAACAAGCCAAGAATCACTTGCTACTTACATGGTGGTAAAATGAAAATCATTTGCTTTGAATACTTTCTGCAATTTCTCAAAGTTACAACTCACAAATATCTAATGTATGAAAATGTATTTTGGGAAGCCGAGTTGCTGACAGTACCACATTATTGCCATTCTCAGAATTGACGACGCTGTTATTTTTTTATGTCTCTTTGAAACAGATTTCGGAGGAAACATCAATGTGGAAACAATCACGTCATTCATAGATGGAGGAGGAAATGTGCTGGTGGCTGCAAGCTCTGATATTGGTGAGCCCTCGGTGTGCAGGGAATTGAGACGCAGTGTCATTTATGGGCTATTAAAAGAGATCTCTTAACTAATTCTGAAATTTCCTTTCGAGTGACATCTTTAATTCGAACTAGAGGGGTAGAGTGTTACCTGTTCACACATACCCTGGCACAAAGACTTATTCATGAAATGGCACTGAAGTAGATGGATATTTAGAAATCTTAGGAGCTCTAATTTTGCCCTTTTTTTTATTAGATGAAAACTTTATAAAGGCGACCGCCCCCCCCAACAGCTATGACCTAATTGGTTCCTGGCCGACCGTCGCAAGTCAAAGTCGAGAACCCCCTCATCTCCCATAAGGCTAAATGTTATACATTGGGGTTGCCTTCCTGGAAACCCATTACATACCGTGAAAACACAAATTGGCCATGAATGAAAATAACCCTAACAAACATTTATTGTAGCTTAACATAACCTTGACCAACGTTTATTAGGTAAAACCAAACGCATTTTAAAATCCTTAAGTACTTTTCTGCACGTGCATCGCATTTCCTCTTCTCGGACGTAGCATAAGGCGAACATTGTAAAAAAAAAATTGAAGAAATGTAAAAAAAAAAGTGAATAGCGTTGCGAAAGAGACGCCGCTCTCGGCGCAACTGCAGACTGTCAGGCTATACCAGGGGTGGGCAAATTTTTTGACTCGCGGGCCACAATGGGTTCTGAAATTTGACAGAGGGGCCAGGCCAGGAACAGATGGAGTGTTTGTGTGAACTAATATAAATGACATATAAAAATAATTATATTAAAGGATTTGGCCTTTTAACAGGTAGCAAAGAATTTATTTGCAAGGCAATTTAACCAATTGCACGAACATGAACAACACAAAAACATATCGTAACTCCCGGTCAAAGTGCGCCATCTAATGGGGAAATAGGAGCATTACAGGAGAAAGGTAAAATTTTATTTAATAATAATATTTGTACAAGTTCGGCGGGCCGGATTAAAAAGCCCAACGGGCCGTATACGGCCCGGGGGCCGTACTTTGCCCCTGTCTGGGCTATGCGGTACATATGCATACGGCGGAAGAGCAAAGCGGCGCCATCTCTGCACATGTTTTGCGCGCATTCGTCGCCAGATGGCGCAGCGCCTCTGCCTGACATGCGCACACTCGACACCACACGACTCTGCACCGGTTGCAGTCGCGCGGCGGTCGTAGATAGTTTTGGTCGTTACTGTGGAGGGGGGGGGGGGGGTCTTGGTTACTTTTAGAAAGGTCGTAAAATCGGGGAGGTCGCAAGTCGAGCCGTGGTAAGTCGAGGGCCACCTGTAGTTTGTTTTTATGGTTCAGTAACCAGGATGGGACCCCCAACTCGCTGCGCTTGAGAACCCTGTTAAATCGTGAATAGTCACCCAGACCTAAACTCGTAATCTCAGCCCATGCCCGCCTTAGTATTCTGACCCCTTAGCTCTTGGGGTGGCTTGTTGTCAATGTTGTTCTTTTGTGTTGTGATGTATTTTAGGTGACCCAATCAGAGACTTGGGGAGCGAGTGTGGCATTGAGTTTGATGAAGAGAAGACGGCCGTGATTGATCATCACAGCTACGATATCTCGGATGAGGGGGAGGTCCGTACCCTTGTGCTTGGGAATTGCATGTCTCCTGTTAGTGGTGGAGAATAATGGGTTAATAATATTTCATGAACAGACAGGAATCCATTTCTGCACACATTTTTTTTCTACCCAAATGGTTACTGGAAAACATTGGTGTCTATAGGCTAATGGGTGAAAAAAGTTTTAATTTGTATGGAAAAGCAGATTTTCTTTCTGTTAATTATTTATTTGCATCAGAATGCCAGTGTCCATCCTACACGTTATTCACGCGTAATTATAATTAAGATTGGGTATTCAGCCAAGGTGAAAAAAGTTATTTAGATCATGTATACTTATGGCCACAGGTTATTATTTTATTAAATTATTCATATTAAGCTGTAGCTGTCCGTTTTGCCCATGCTTTCATTATCATATCATAATGTTTCACGTGACTCAATGGTTTTGTGGCAGCCAAGAGATTTATTAATCTGTACAAAATGCTTACATGGTCTCGATGTGCTCTTATGGATGCTATAACCTAGTTAGTCATTAAAAAAAACTCATCACATAAAAAATATGAATCGGTTGAATCGTATCAAATGTTGTTGACATTTTTTTATATCACATTTGCCTCGTATGCTTTGCTGATGGAGCATCTGCGGCATAATTTACATGCAAAGTGCCATTTATGAATGAAGTGGAGTAGCAAAATTTGCGTGGTTGAAATGCCTGTTGGTTTTTGTTTTTTAGCACACGTTGGTGGTGGCTGATGCTGACAACCTCATCAAGGTGCCCATGGTCGTTGGGGTGCCTTCAGGGAACCCCATCCTTTTCCGTGGCGTTGGGTGAGCAGACAAACAAAAAGTGACAAAAAACACGGCAGATTTGTCCAAAACACTGCCTTAAAAAGAACAATGTATAACATGCAACATTTTGGGTGATGGCTGCCCTTCATAGAGCATCCTATATACCCACATCCTCTATGCAAGATGAAGAAAGGCCATTGCCCAAAACATCACCCATTATATATATTTTTTTTGTTTCGTGTTTTGCAACACGAGCAAAATTTGTAAGTAAATAATAATTTGATAAACGAGCGATGTCTTGCAATACGAGCAGTACGTACAGTGTACGCTTTGTCTGCCGAGCGTCACGTGATCACAACTGAGACAATGGTTCTTCTCTCTCGCTGCGTGAAAGTGGGTAATCATCTCCCATGCTCGGTCTCAGTCGGCGTGCCTCACTCATATAATCAACATCCGTGCGAGCGTATACTGTTTACTATATAGTCTTGTGACCACGTTTGTGTGTGCGTAAAGCATTTTTTTTATTTTGTGTCCAAGTGTAGTGACTGTTCTTTAGTAACTGTACTGCAACAATGGCCCAACAATGCAATGTCACATTTCCGTGAAATCCTAAAAAGGAGGCAAAAGCAAGTGTCATTGGATAGGTTCCTTGTTAAAGTCGCACAAAAAGAAAAAGATTCCAGTGAGCCAACAGATGGCAGTGATTCCGTTAGTGACAGTGAAAGTCGTCCTACACAATAACCCTCCTCCTCCTCTCTCTCGTCTCCCTCACACCAGCCACGATTAAATTTAATGAATACATTTGATTACTTTGAATTAAATTTAAATAAAAATGTAAAAAGGTACAGTATTTTGTATTAATCATTTTTATATGAATATTTTTGGGTTGTGGAACGAATCATCTGAGTATCCATTATTTCTTATGGGGAAACTCGCTTTGATATACGAGTGCGTTGGATTACGAGCACGTTTCCGGAACGAATTATGCTCGCAATCCAAGGTTTCACTGTAGTGGGGGAAGCCCATTGAGATTCAACAGCTACCCGAGGGCCCTGTACTCGCCTGCCTAACAAGCCCATGCCTCTCGCCTGTGTGATTTTTAAGTGGGGCTAGTGGCACAGCACCGTGCTATTATATAAAATGGTAGAGCAGACGAGTACCGCCGGACTCGAGAAGCTGAATTTTTGAGTCGGGAGATATGGATATTTACAATTTCAGGATTTCAAACCGTATTCTGTAATGTGTGTTGTCCGTGGGTGTTTTTGTTTTATCATTGCGTCTAGCATGGTGGCTGACCCTGAAAACGCACTGGTCTTGGACATCTTGACCGGATCTTCCACTACTTACTCGTTCTTCCCCGACAAGCCCGTTACCCAGGTTTGCACACACGCACAACATCCTGCCGTTGCTATGACACTTGAAGTGATTGGATTAAGGCAGCGCTTGTGATTGAATTGAATATGACCAAACAAACCGGAACTCGCCTGATCTCGTAAGATCTCTTAAGCTAAGCATAGTTGAGCCTAAATTTTTTACGAGATATATATATTTTATCCATCTCATCATTTTACAAATGTGATTTCACTCAAACGGCGCTTCGGTGAGACTGCAAATTTTCAACCCATCATGTTGCACCGACTAATTGTATGGGGGGTGTGCCTCTATACGTTTGGGTTGCGTTCTTGAAAATATCGTACCGTATATATTAAAATGTATCTTCTCATAAGGTCCCATTATATAGCCTCAGTTGCTTTCTTAAGAAAATATTTTCTCACCCAAAACCTACTCGAGTAACACTTTTAAACGCAACTTTTATATACATGCATAAATATCCAGGTTTTTGCACCACACTTTGGGTCAATTACAATTGTAATTGAGTCTTTTGTATGGCAGGAGCGAAAAGCAACGGTTTTGAAATGTATTATAGTTTAATGCTAATTTATTTCAGCCAGCCCTAAGGATGCAATAGACGCTGTATGGATTGCAGCGACTCCATCAGGATATGCATGGAATTGTGCATTCCACGTTCATGTACGTGCTTTGGAATTGTAATTGAGTTGTAATCGCAACATAATATTAACTTAATGTCATTATGCTGCTGTAATCATACCTGATCCCAGATCTAATTAACACCTCTCCCGTCACACTGACAAGAGACTGGCCCACCTGAGCGCGTTATTGAATGTTGTTTTTGTCTTGTTGACGCCGTTGCTGCAGTACCCCCACGCAGTCGGCAAGAACACGCTGCTCATTGCCGGGCTCCAAGGAAGAAACAACGCCCGTGTCATCTTCTCCGGGTCTCTCGACTTCTTCAGTAACGCCGCCTTCAACTCCCCCGTGCAGAAGTCCACTCCGGGCTCCAAGAGGTTCGTCCGGTTTCCCCGGCTGGGGTTCTTCCCCTGCTCTGCGCCGTGAACTGTCATTCTGGCCCCTTCGCGAGTGACTCCGCCGCTGCCCTTGTGAAATGCTATCAATTGGGTTTTGAATCGAAAACAGGTTCAGCAAGGCTGGCAACGAGGAGCTGGCCATTGCGCTGTCACGCTGGGTGTTCAAGGAGGAAGGAGTGCTCCGGGTCGGGGACGCAAAGCACCACCGCGTGGGAGAGGCTGACCCCCCAGCTGCCTATACCGTCACCGACCTGGTGGTGAGCATTCCCCGTCAGTGTTAGCAATGGTGACATTGATGGATATACCAAAACTAAACTAGCAACTATTTAACAGGTAAGGTCCACTGAACTATATATATAGCTCTCTTTCAGAAGCGACCTCGCCGCAAATGATAGCTCAACGGAAAGTCGCTTGTCACGTGGAAATGTATGGCAGCCAACTACTGTAATATTCTGCAATTTTTGCCTATAGCCTGTTAGGTGTGAAAGATGGAGAGTTAAGTGGAGTCAATTGACAGCTCCTGACCTGTAGGTTATGTTTGTTAAACGTCGATTTTAACAAATCATACATTTAAATATCTGATTACACATTTTCTGAAAAAGAAAGACGCTAAACCAAAAAAAGTATTTCCTGACATTCCTCGTTCTGGAAGCGAAATAAATTTCTTCTGTAGGCACTAAAATATTCTGGAAGACAAATGTGAGCAAATGAACGGGAGGAAGATCACTTCCGAAAGAAGTGACAATCGGTGTGGACACCGCACGATTTTATCTCGCACTACCTCATCTCGCACTACCTCATCTCGCACTACCTCATCTCGCACTACCTCATTTGGCACTACCTCACACAGTCCTTATGCTAACTATAACACTAATACCGTCCCTGATGCTTTGGTCTTAGCACTCGCCCTTATTACATTCACATGGTTCCTAAAACTACAGTGAGGGAAAAAAGTATTTGATCTCCTGCTGATTTTGTACGTTTGCCTACTGACAAAGAAATGATCAGTCTATAATTTTAATGGTAGGTTTATTTGAACAGTGAGAGACAGAATAACAACAACAAAATCCTGAAAAACGCATGTCAAAAATGTTATGAAATGATTTGCATTTTAATGAGGGAAATAAGTATTTGACCCCTCTGCAAAACATGACTTAGTACTTGGTGGCAAAACCCTTGTTGGCAATCACAGAGGTCAGACGTTTTTTGTAGTTGGCCACCAGGTTTGCACACATCTCAGGAGGGATTTTGTCCCACTCTTTGCAGATCTTCTCCAAGTCATTAAGGTTTTGAGGCTGACGTTTGGCAACTCGAACCTTCAGCTCCCTCCACAGATTTTTTTTATGGGATTAAGGTCTGGAGACTGGCTAGGCCACTCCAGGACCTTAATGTGCTTCTTCTTGAGCCACTCCTTTGTTGCCTTGGCCGTGTGTTTTGGGTCATTGTCATGCTGGAATACCCATCCACGACCCATTTTCAATGCCCTGGCTGAGGGAAGGAGGTTCTCACCCAAGATTTGACGGTACATGGCCCCGTCCATCGTCCCCTTTGATGCGGTGAAGTTGTCCTGTCCCCTTAGCAGAAAAACACCCCCAAAGAATAATGTTTCCACCTCCATGTTTGACGGTGGGGATGGTGTTCTTGGGGTCATAGGCAGCATTCCTCCTCCTCCAAACACGGCGAGTTGAATTTATGCCAAAGAGCTCCATTTTGGTCTCATCTGACCACAACACTTTCACCCAGTTGTCCTCTGAATCATTCGGATGTTCATTGGAAAACTTCAGACGGGCATGTATATGTGCTTTCTTGAGCAGGGGGACCTTGCGGGCGCTGCAGGATTTCAGTCCTTCACGGCGTAGTGTGTTACTAATTGTTTTCTTGGTGACTATGGTCCAAGCTTCCTTGAGATCATTGACAAGATCCTCCCGTGTAGTTCTGGGCTGATTCCTCACCGTTCTCATGATCATTGCAACTCCACGAGGTGAGATCTTGCATGGAGCCCCAGGCCGAGGGAGATTGATAGTTCTTTTGTGTTTCTTCCATTTGCGAATAATCGCAGCAACTGTTGTCACCTCACCAAGCTGCTTGTCAATGGTCTTGTAGCCCATTCCAGCCTTGTGTAGGTCTACAATCTTGTCCCTGACATCCTTGGAGAGCTCTTTGGTCTTGGCCATGGTGGAGAGTTTGGAATCTGATTGATTGATTGATTGCTTCTGTGGACAGGTGTCTTTTATACAGGTACAAGCTGAGATTAGGAGCACTCCCTTTAAGAGTGCTCCTAATCTCAGATTAGGATCACTCCCTTTCAGAGTGTGCTCCTAATCTTAGCTCGTTACCTGTATAAAAGACACCTGAGAGCCAGAAATCTTTCTGATTGAGAGGGGATCAAATATTAATTTCCCTCATTAAAATGCAAATCAATTTATAACATTTTTGACATGGGTTTTTCTGGATTTTTTGGTTGTTATTCTGTCGCTCACTGTTCAAATAAACCTACCATTAAAATTATAGACTGATCATATCTTTGTCAGTAGGCAAACATACAAAATCAGCAGGGGATCAAATACTTTTTTTCCCTCACTGTAGCCTAAGCCCCTAAGTAATAACACTCGCCCAATTTCTGTGTGTACGTTGAACTTCTTTCGCACGGTACGTAGCCACCCGTGCTAATACTAACGTAGTCAAGTGTTTAGCAGAAGTAATGCCCTCTGTCCATGTCTGTCCTTGCCCCCTTCCAGGAGTTCAGCATTGTCATTGAGAAGCTGGAGGAAGGCAAGTGGGTGCCCTACAATGGGAAAGACGTGCAGCTGGAGTTTGTGCGCATCGACCCCTTCGTGAGGACCTTCCTGAAGAGGAGCGGTGAGGCAGCATCCCTGGATTGTCCCAGAAACGCACGGCTTCAACGCTTCTTATGATTTGCACGTACGCCCGAAGCCGAATGGTTTGCCAGAAATGGTTCATTTAAGCACAAGCTGGCTAGCCTGTTCTATATAATAGGTGACATTTTGGCCAGTGACCCTTCATCTCACTGCACCAATACACCATGGAGCCCTGGTAAGAAAACCTTTTGTTTTCTGGATAACCTCTGGATTCCAGTCTGGCTGCATGTTGCATTCACTGGGCAGCATCGGTGGCTGGGTGGGGGAGGGTGTTGGGGGGGGGGTGGAGTTGGGAGATGTGCTATCTAATCAAACTCTCAACCATACTCATACTACCATACTATATATTACAACAGAGGGGGGAATGTAAAGGTGCGAGATAGAGTAAGGGAACAAGAGATGGAGAGGGGTGGTGAGAGGGTGAAAGGGCATGAAACAGAGGGGAAGGAAAGAAAGCGCAGAACGGAAATGGGACCAGCGAGCAAATGTGACGAGCGGTGGAAGGGAGAAGATTCGGGAGACTGCAAAGGGTGGGGGGGTGGGGGGAGTACCGGAGAAACCTCGCCCCCACGCTTGCACACGTGGAGATGTCGCTCGCTAGAAATCCGTCAATTCGACGGGTTCACAAACCCACCTGCTGAGGTGGTGGCCAGGATGTCTCTGCTTTGCTTCTGAGACCTGACGAAATGATGGGGGGGGTGGGGGACCCTTCTGGGGGATTTTGTCATAGGGGGTGTGTGCGTGTTGCTATATGGGTGCGGTGCTGGCTACCCCCCCCCCCCACCCCCTGGTGTACCGTGCTGGCCTTCATAGGTGCTCGCTGAACAGCACTTGCCCCAACAGTATGTTAAGGCTACACGCGGGGATCTTTGTTGTTATACGCAGAGTATTTAAATTACCCATGTATTGTCATCATACAGGGAATCGGTACAGCACTCAGTTCACGCTACCAGATGTGTATGGAGTCTTTCAGTTCAAGATCGACTACAACCGACTGGGCTACACTCACCTCTACTCCACCACTCAGGTACGGCCACATTCACTCTCAACCCCACCCTTCAGTGTCATCCTGCTAACATGAAGTTAATGGGGCACAGCAAGCAATGCTGCCTGGATCGATTGAAGCACTGTGCAGGTCTCCCGTTAACAAGAAACTTGCAGTCTCGGCTCGCGCGTTTATTAACCCCCCCCCCCCAATTTCATCACGGTTGTGCTAATGGTGTCATGAAGCAAATAATGTTCTTTCTCACAGTGCAATACAATCACCCCCCTCGCCCATTAGAGAGTTGGTCCACAGAAGCGGATAACACAGAACTACTCCCGAGTTCCCTTCACGTGACCTCTGGTCCATACAGTGGGGGGAAATCACTTTCGCACCCAGTCTGCTACAAAAAGCAATGTATGTAGCACGACAGTTTTTTTTACTTAGTTTATTTGATTTAAAAAAACGTGTATTGAGGCTGCACAAGCCCGTTACATCGCGTTGTAATGCACATACACACCGTATCACGACGAGTTTACATTTTCAGAGTTGGAATTTTTACAAAATGAGGCTCCAAATAGTTGTTTTATTTAATTACGTGCCATCAATAGCTCTATTGGGATAAGGTATTGAAAGAGATAAAAGGCTGAATTGAACATGTAATTTAAAAAAAAAAAGCCTACGTTGCACAAAAGCCGTAACAAACCCAGCGGCATCGTTCTCTGCCCACAGGTGTCGGTGAGGCCTTTGCAGCACACGCAGTACGAGCGCTTCATCCCGTCGGCCTACCCGTACTATGCCAGCTCCTTCTCCATGATGCTAGGCGTCTTCCTCTTCTCTCTCGTCTTCCTTCACTATCGCGAGAAGGAGAAGTCCGAGTGAGGAGAGGAAGATTCGCCATGCGTCACCACGGGCTCCCCCGTTGCCAGCTGGGATGCGACGTCTCGATGGATGATGCCCCCTAATGAGGGGTGGTGGCAGGGGACGTGGTGGGAGGTTACCATTGGCAGATCACCCCGGGCCACTACGGTAAAGGCCGCCGTATAAAATTCAAGTTGAAGAAGACCCTGTGGAATCTTTTTTTTTGGCAAGAGTTTGAGGACTGCTGTGTGCAGTTCTGACCTAAAGTGTATTGCGATAAGGGGTGCAAATGGTTAAATTTCTATTGTTCATAAACGTGAGCCAGGGCTCAAAGTGCAGTGGAAATCCGCCCAAGTATGAAAACTCCCTTGTGCCGCTTGTTGCGTCTCCAACTCGGTGTGCATTGAAAATTACAATTCCTTTCTGGTAGAAATTAACCAAAATGGTCGGAAAAATATTTCACCTCCTCAAGGGAAATGCAAAAGTCTGGATTTCCTTTTCATAATATATATTCACTGAATGATATTTTTATTTATTCAGTTAGACATTTTTTTGGGGTGGGGGTCGTAATTGCAAAACGGAATGATTTTGGTTCATCTAAAGTACATTTTCAGTTAAATGTCATTACCTTGACCAAACATGTGATAAGCCCAAAGGTTTGAATGGAAGGGAATGCTAATGTAAAATATTACTTTACTTTGGGAGTAAACAATATATGAAAGTGAAATTTGTGTACAAGGTAAAACAATATTTGAATGCATTCCAAATGTAAACAGAGCACTGGATTATGCAATAAAAATTTGGGTTTTTGGTACCACTGCTGGCTTATTTGCTCTCCAAATACCTACGACAATCACCCAGGAATGTCTGTCAACGCTTATGACGTCATTCCACATCGACCAGCCCCCCTCATTAATATTCATGACTAGGTGATGCCTCGAAATGGGCACCCCCCTCAATAATGAATGGGTGACGTCACTCAATATTGAGTACCCCCCCACAATCATGTGCAAGTGACGTCACTCCACATCGAACAGCCCCCCTCATTAATAATCATGAGCAGGTGACGTCCTCCAAATGGACACGCCCGCCATTAGTATTACCTAAAATGAGCCAAGAATGCCTGTGTGCAACGCTCGTGACGTCACTCCACGTCGACCAGCCTCCCTCAATCATGAGCAGGTTACGTCCACATGGACCACCCCCATCAATAATCATGAGCAGGTGACGGCACTCCACATGGAGCACCCCCCCCCCCCCTCATTAATAATAATGAGCAGGTGAAGTCATATCGAACAGCCCCCCATTAATTATAAGGTGACGTCATCCAAATGGACACCACTTCAAAGGAGGCCCCAAAGATGATCCAAAAAACTCCCGACCTATCTCAATTTTGTCCCCGTTGATGAAAATTTTAAAAACATTATTGAACTACCAAATTATCAGTTTCCTGTCCGACAACAATTTCTTACATCGAAACCAATCTAGTTTCCGAAAAAAATACAGCACCACATCTGCATTAGACTCTCTAAATCACATTTACAGTAGCAGTACTGTGCCAGTCTTTTTCTTGGCTTGTTCAAAGCCTTTGACACAGTCGACCACAACACCCTACTTATTAAACTAAGTTGCCTCCGTTTCTCCCAACGCAGTAGAATGGTTAAAAAATTACCTCTCTTCTCGCACCCAAACTGTATTCATAGATTGAATTATACACCGTCTATGGCAGTTTATAATAAAATATATATATTAGTTGGAGGCATATAATAATTTTGTAAAATGACTTATTGTTAGTAGCTCAGCTTAATGGAGAATATATTGAGTACATTGATTATATTGATATAGTTTATATTTAGTTCTTTCACATCGGTTTATTGTATGATAGTTGGATAGTTGAAGTTCTTTAGCGTCAATATACTAAATGCCTCTGTTGATATGTAAACTCTGACCTTAACATAGCTACTTCCGTGACCAGTTACATGCTAATTCATCACATTAACATGCTAATCTCCCAGTTACATGCTATTTCTGACTTTAACATCCTGCTAATCTATCACATTAACATAGCTACTTCAATGCTAAATTCTTCTGTTGATATGTAAACTCCTTTGTCAAGGCGCTCTGCTCCTCCCACCCAGCTTAAAAGACGCTGCCAAGCTTAGCAGTGTTCATTGGAGCGCTGTCTTTCCGACAGTTCTGTTTCTTCACCTGAGGACGGCTGCTTGTATAGTGGCCGAAACGTCGTGAGAATTTTATTTTATTATGTTTAATTTTTTATTATTTTATTATTTCCCTTCTACGTGACTTTACCGAAAGAACTAAGAAGATGAATCCCTGCAGTCACGAAAGTTTTAAATCGAAACATTGATTATATTGGTAAAAAGACAAAATAAATAAAACATTTGTATCAACACAAGCATTGCTTACCCCTATGTTCCGTTTGGAATTGATCAAAGCTGCCATACTTCCTCTACGTGATTACTGTGACATCGTATATAAATCAGCCCCCAGTACTGTTCTGAAGAAGCTTGACTCAATTTACCACTCGGCCTTAAGATTTGCATTGAACTGTCCATGTAGGACCCACCACTGCGATCTCTACATTGGGTCAAACTTAACATCTCTTAATGATCGACGGCTTGTACATCAGATCTTATTTATTCACGATGTAATTATAAAAAATATTAGCAGACTACCTGCTGGATCTACTCACTGTTTCGAAGAATAAATGTGGCCTAAGGTCCTCGCTCATTTACCAGCTTCACATTCCTTATTGCCGTACAAATACTGGAGGAAGGGCCTTTGCTGTTGATGCCCCCAGGGTCTGGAATGCTATCGCCAACAAACTGCAACTTGGATCACTGCCTGTGAGATCTACACTCAAAACTGCTCTTGAGGAGCTGTACACCCCTAGCTGCCACTGCTATGCAGAGTGGCCTGAAATCAAATGCATCGCTCCAGATGACCGCTGCAAAGTATGATCTTGAGTTTTGATTATAGTGTGCTGATCTTTAAAGGTGCATTGAAAAATGTTGATACTCCTGCTGTTATGGAGTGACTCATGCTGCCAGCTATGGCTGCAAAATTTGGTCGTACATGTTTATTGTTAAATTTGAATCACACTTCCTATGATCACTGTTACATTATTTTGTAGCTTTATTTTGGTGATTTCGAAAACGTTTTGGTTTAGCCATGTTTGTTTGTTGTCGTACAGAGTTAGCCTGATAACTTTAATCTAAATTGTCTGATGGTTGTTATTGTTTGACTTGCATCCCACGGGGATTTTTGTACACAGTGTTGAAATGCGGTGTTTTTGCTGGAAGAATTTGCTGTTTTTTCCTGGATTTTTTTGTTGCGTGTAGTCACTTTAAGATGTTCTTTGTTCATGTTTTTGTTTGTTGCGGTTGCACCCGAGTCAAGAGCCGCATGGCTCACAGGGTTATACCTAATACATGAAATTGAAACTGAAAACTGAATTATTAATCATTAGCGGGTGACGTCACTCCACATGGGGGGCGAGACGCCTCCTCCCCCCTCCTCGGCGTCAACTTAAAACCCTCACTACAAAGCCAGAACCCTCACGTCACGCGTTCTCCATAACGCTATTGAGACATCAAAGTAAAATAAACGTCATGATGAACAAGGGATTATAACCTTAAAATGAAATAGGTCTGTGTCACCACGCCCTTACAAATTACACACGCATTAATGCAATATCACATCGCGGTCTGCTTTTTGCTTGCAAGTTTCATATTTACTGCAATCCATCCGTCCTTGGACGGACAAAAGTTCAAGGTTTATTTGAACGGAGCGTGAGCTACCAAGGTCTAAAGAACCCGTCTTGCACCCAAATGTGTTGGCACCCACTATGCATAAGAACCGTTAATGCTATAGACTGCTGCCGGCTTATGTTGTGACCTGCAGAAGCAAGGGGGATTAAAATCCATCGGAACTATTGTACTGCACTTTGATCCCCTGCGTCAATGAGCGTGGTGAAGTATGGTCAAATAACCCACACGGCTGGGGTAGGGAGGACCTCCTACAGAAGGGGATTGAAAAGGGTGCTCTACACGTGCAATGGCTCGCTCGGACCACGAAGTACTAGGAGCCACTTTATTAACACGCAACAATCGAGGTCAGGGCTTCGTGCTTGGACTGAAAGCTGAACTTTCCCTCAGGTCCCCCTCCCATTGTGTTCTGCACTTTCATATCGTTCGAGTCCCCTTTTTCTCGAATGTTCCCTCACTGTATTTCCCTCAGCCTAACGGATCCCAACCATCGCCTCTGAATTCTACCCAGGGGTGGAAAAAATAATCAGATCCGAATTTGAGATTTAAGGCTCAAACCTTAATAAACCTAATAAACCTCATGGTTGTATTTGCAATACTCCCAGATCAGTACTAGTCCTCCTCCGACAAGTCCATGTCGTCGCCCTCGGACATAGAACTGCATTCGGCGAACGCCGCAGAGTTGCTCTTGAGGTAGGCCAACTTCTCCACCGAACTGGGCGCCAAGCTGTTCCTGAGCTCGCTGTGTATGAAGCCCATAGTTGAGAAGTTGCGCTCCGAGGCTGCAGAGGATGTCGCCATCGTGAAGAGCTTGACGCTGATCTTCTGGAGATCGGGCCAGGCCACGCCGTCATACTGCCAATATTGCAAAGGTGTCTTAAGTCCCCTGAGCAGTAAAACGAATCTAAACCCGCCGGCATCCTTCTGCTGTGCCGAAATGACTTCCTGCAAAAACCGAAATGGCGTCTTTTTTATAATAAACCTCAAAACCTCACCCAAACTGGCCCTTCGGGATATTAAGGGTTTTTTTTTATTTAAAGCTTCTCAAACCTAATTGTTTTAATCCTCGCCTCGCCGCCCATGGTTCTACCTTGTATACCACCAATTCCCACTTAAACCTTTTCCTCCAATCACTTCAAAAGACTGCCTCCCGACTAATCCCCGTGGGAGGCCTCTTTCCGCCAATCGTAAACCTTCATTTATCTTCTTATATCTTTCGGTAAAGTCACGCAGAAGGGAAATAATAAAATAAAATATAAAAATAGTAAAATAGAATTCTCACGACGTTTCGGCCACAACACAAGCAGCCGTCCTCAGGTGAAGAAACAGAGCTGTCGGAAAGACACCGCTCCAATGAACAGTACTAAGCTTGGCAGCGTCTTTTAAGCTGGGTTGGTGGAGCCTTGACAAAGGAGTTTACATATCAACAGAAGAATTTCGCATTGAAGTAGCTATGTTAATGTGAGAGATTATCAGGATGTTAAAGTAAGAAATTAGCATGTAACTGGGAGATTAGCATGATGTTAATGTGAGGGATTTAGCATGTAACTGGTCACGGAAGTAGCTATGTTAAAGTCAGAGTTTACATATCAACAGAGGAATTTAGTATATTGACGCTAAAGAACTGCAACTAATAATAAAAATACAATAAACCGATTTGAAGGAACTAAAAACTACATCAATATAATCAATGTACTCAATATATTCTCCACTAAGCTGAGCTAATAACAATAAGTCATTATGCATTACACTTCTATGTCGCAAAAATTATTATATAATCTTGTTATTATAAACTGCCATAGACAGACCCCAACATTGAATTATACACTGCGTTACTATACACTACCCTATACCTTAGATTACAATAATATTAGACTTGTAATATTACACTATGTATTATTTTACCAACCCTACTGTATACCACACTGCTTCATTTTTTAATAGCCGTGAGGCTCTACATTGTTCTCGGCGACATTTTGGGTTATTGTACACGTAAATCAAATGGAATTTGTTCGTAATCGATTATCGGAA